CATTGTTTGTTAATGAGAAAAATCACCAATCCAAAAAGGCTTTATTTTACCTTGTGACAAGTGTGAGCATTTTCTAACCATTTTAAGCCTTAAATATTTTGAGTGAATCATACAAAAATCCAACATAATTACGAAGTGTTCCAATTGGTAGCTTGTTGTTGATCATTAAGGAAATCATTGTTGATTCACTCTATTTTGCTTGTTGTAAACACTTAATACTTTTTGTGAACAAACTTTTTGAATTGAAGAACATTGTCTTAGAATTAAAGAAATGTTTAAAGTTGGGGAGATTGATTACTTCGAAAAGAAGAAAGAATTGGTGGAATCGTGCCTCTTGTGAAAAATAAATAAATGTGCAATGTATTCAAAAGAGAATCATTTGAAAAGAAAAGAAGTGAGACAAATAAATGAAAATGAAAGATATCACCATGAGAAAAGAAATGAAAGGATTGAAAAATAAGTAAGGATTGAGTAAGATGGTATAGTTGTGTTGAAAAATGATGACATGTTCTTCATAATTTGTACCATTTTGATTCAATAGCCTTATATAAACATCCCTTTCTTGTTAACCCAAGCGAAGTTGCATCCTATAAAAGTCCTTTGGTGATCTTTGTTTCCTTGGTTTCCTTGTTGTTTGATGAGATGCATGCATGAATTGTTCTCGATGTTAGCACAATTACTAGTGAGAGTGTTTTGTCCCTTGTAAATATTGTACATAGTTCATGTTTTGTTGAGTGAATTAGGTGATTCAAATATGAACATGTTGTTTCTAAAGTTGCATTATGTGATCTTTGTGTTTAGAGCTTGAGTCATTATCATGTTATGATTCTTGCAAAGTGATTAAGTTTTCTTGTGCGTGCAATTGTAGAGTTTGAACCATCCATTTTTCTTCTGGTTGATTTTGTGCTGTTGAGCTTTTTCTTGCTGCCTTTGAAAATTACCTTTGATTGGGGACAAACAAAGTTTCAAGTTGGGGAGAGTTGTTAAGTGTCAATTATAGGTTATTTTCCATATCACATATTGACACTTTTAAGCTCCTTTCTACGCTTTTGATTATGAAAATGACTTATTTTAAGTGATTCTTGCATCAATGTATATTATCTTGGCAATTTTAATGTGTTCGTTAGTTTTTCAGCATTTTATGTTTAGAAGCTACAGCTTAAGGCGGGTTCAGAGAAGAAGAATTGAAGAAATTTCAGTGTCAGAGTTTTAGAAGCCTCACCCGGCGAAGGGGAGGGGAGAGGCAGAAGGCTCGCCCGGCGAAGGCGAGGCGAGACCAGAAGCGAGGGAAGTTTTAGAAGTCAGTATCTACTGACTTTGGCTCGCGGGCAGGAGCGCCTGACGAGTGAAGAGCGAGAAGCACTCGCCCGATGAAGCTGTTGGAGCGTCAGGAGAAGAAAGATATTTTCTTCAGCTTGCGTACACTGTTGCTGCACGTGGGCGTGTTAGTGGGGCTCACCCAACGAAGCTTGTGTAGCGTCGGGTGAAGCGGTCTGGACAGACCATGTATATATGCTACTTTGTAGATAGTTTTTGGAATATCTTCCACTTTCTACCACTTTTGTACCCTAGAAAACAACTATTGTGAGAGAAAAAAACCATCTTCCTCATTTCTAACTCAAAAGCAAAGCTTTTATGCTTCAATCTTTGATTATTCAAGTTTGATGCACCCAAAACTTTGTTGTTTACTTGTTGCTCAAGCTACCATGACTATGGGTAGATAAACATATCTTTGTATCAAGATTAGAGGTAGATAATCTTCACTTTTGTATGTATTTCTCTTGATATTTTGTATGTGAACAAGTTGATGATTAATATATGGTGAAAATCCTTGTTTTTTATGATATTTGTATGATTTGGATCATTATTGACAAATAGGTTCCAACTCTTGACCTAGGTTTTCATCTATCATCAACAAACAATTTTTAGACATAGTTTTGTGAGATCATCTAAGGATCAATATGATAAAACTCACAATTTATTTTAGAGATGAAACATATTGAGAGGATATGTGATTATATTGATTGTTAATAAGTTCACATGCTTTATTAAGAAAATACATACGAAATAGATTTTCGAGCCCTAATCTTGACATGTTTTTTCCAATCATTTTTCAAACCAAAACTCTCTTTTACCGATACTTAACACTTTTCATGAAATCAAAACTTTCTGTTACCAAAACCTTTTATAAACTCATGCTTAAAAAAATTTCAACTGTAGAACGGCGGTAATATCACTCAATCCTTATGGATACAATAAAGAAAATACTTATCTTATAAGAATGTTTCAACACACCACCACCGTAGCACCGTACCAGTGTTTCCCACATTGCCTTCTTCGTCGTTGAATCAGTGACCTTCTCAAAAACATTCTTATCCATACACTAATGGATATAGAACAACACCTTCTCTTCTTTCTTCTTCGTTTCTCTTTTGCGCGTTTCTTTGTGCTCTGTTGCATCTGTTGCAACCGACATAACCGGCATTGACAAGATCAAGAACATCTTGAGCGCCAATTAACACACACATTTGAATCATCCACTGATTCAATTCTTTCCATTCAATACTAAAAGCTTTGCGTTCAAGCTACTGTTTCCACCGTTCATCTTCGTTCTTGTGCAAATTCACTCAGATCTCACCAACACTCGTGTTTCCTAATCCCTCATAATCAAGAAATGTGATTTTGTTTTGATTATGATCTTCAATTCACAGTGAATTAAATGAGCAGAAATCAATCACACGCGTCTCACATACACTCATGTTTCCCTATGAATCAAATCAGAACTCTAGATACCAATTATTGATGCACAAGGTTAAAGATCAAGATGGAAGAAGAGAGAGAGAGAGAGAGAGAGAGAGAGAGAGAGAGAGAGAGAGAGAGAGAGAGAGAGAGAGAGAGAGAGAGAGAGAGAGAGAGAGAGAGAGAGAGAGAGAGAATAGATATGTAACTAACTTTCTCTTTCAAACTGAAAAAAACAGTTACAAAGTGAATTCAATTACAAACTAAAACTTGAGTTCGGTATTTATACAACCAGAAACAACTAAATAAAACTTAAATTAAATTAAAATACAAATGTTGAAACTAAAATGTGTTGAATTTAGATTAGACTTCAACACAAAAATCAATATCATTACGTTAAGAATTGAGTTAAAAATATATACTCATTTCAAAGCTCATTGATAAACCGATAAATATGGCAATAACATAGCTTTGTTTGTTCTGCTATAGAGAAGAAGAAGAAAAATTTTGAGCATAAATAATTAAAATGTTTATTTAATCTAGTTAGCTAATACGATTAAGCATGTCAATGGGACGGGTCGGGGACGATTTTAACCTCCTCCAAACTCAAATCTGAATTCTCAAACAATCTTCGTTCTCCGCCCCAAAGCCAAATGGGGATGGAGAATTAAAACTCAAACTCGTCCCAAACGAGTTCGAATTGGGTTCGAGTATCCCCGCCCCGCCACCATCCATTTAGTAAAATCATTTTTTTTAATAAAAAAATATATTTTTTCCAAAATGAAATTAAATTATAAATAATAAAATAAAATAATCTCAAAAAATTACATACATACATTTCAAATATTTCAAATAATAAATATAAATCAAATTATCAAAATATTAGTCATATATTTTATATTCTAAATTATTAAAAATAAATAATAATGTAGATATAAAATAAACCGAACGAATTCGGGGTGGGTACTAGTATTCTCATTATCCGACCTATCTCCATATTTTGTAATTGAAGAAAACCCAAACTCAGCCAAAACAGATTTTCTCTGTGAATTTCGGGATGGATACCTACAGGCTTTTGTTGTCATGCTTAAACACGACAACCCTTTTCATGGGTTGACACATATATGTAAAGAGAGATATTCTTACTGCAAGAGTAAGTTATCAAGACTTATTCCACATCTGGATCATTAATTCGTCTCAATCCAATAATTGAAAATAATAAGTAATTAAATATGAAGATAGAAAATTATTAATTAATATTTTTAACCATTGAATTGAGAAAAATTAATAGTCTCGATATAGAATAAGTCTTGATAACTAACTCTTAGAGTAAAAATATCCCTTATATATATATATATATATATATATATATATATATATATATATATATATATATATATATATATATATATATATATATATATATATATATATATATATATATATATATATATATATATATATATATATATATATATATATATATATATATATATATATATATATATATATATATATATATATATATATATATATATATATATATATATATATATATATATATATAACAAGAGAAATAGGAAGGAAGTGAGATTACTTGAATAATTAAATAGCATGGTTAAAATACTAATTAATCTAAATTACTAAGAAATTTCATCTAACAAAATATATTTAGAATGAATGATAATAATTGTAATTAAAAATCAATTCCACCTCTTGCATACGTTGTATGCGTATCATGATACTTGCCTTATAAGTATGATTTGATAATAAAAAATCCCCCTGGTCAAGAAAAAAAAATTATACATTTCGTAATCAACTTGCCATCATCACTATATCATTAATTTATATATTTGAAAGTTAATATATTAAATGGAAAACTTATGTTGAATTTGAACAAGTTAGTCTAATTCTTTCAAATAATGAAATATACATCGAAGTAAGGTGATAACCTACAGAATTGACAAAAGTCTATTTTACTAAAAACTGAATAAAAAACATTGACCACTCTTTATTATTTTTATTTTATTAAAGTAAAACGAATTTCAATAGAAAGAGTACATTCACAACAATGCGAATTTAACATTATTACTAAACATATAAATAAAGTAATAAACTCACTATTCCGTGTATGTTATTAAAACGTGTGAGTGTATGTCATTGGCGGCTATCCTTTGGTAGAAATTTATTTAAGATTCACTCAATTTTGAATGCTTCAAACAAAGACAGCATACAAGAATTTCCTCAAAACATCTCCAAACATGAAAGTCAAACCTAGTCCTATGTCTATTACACACAATCTCTTTCCCATCACATCTCTCATCACACGTAGAACAACTTCTAACTCTACTAGAATGTTCAAACAACATGCCAAGTTTTTTTGTGTCTTTTCTCTAATCACATTATCTACCATATTTTTTCTCATACATAGTGATCATTTTAGCTACCATGATTCCCTTAAACTCCATGCCACAAATAAAGAACCTCTTGTTATGTTACATGCTCAAAGGTCAACTCTTAGTACTCTTGAGAATCATAATCACAAACCTTTGTTAGATTCCATGCAAGAGAAGAAAGATGAAGTAGCTGATGATTATGCAAATCAAAAAGTGCTAGTTGCTCCATTAAATCTCAACAAAGAACAAAGAATCGCATGGTTTAAAGAGAATCTACAAGAGTTCAAGATTCTAAAGTCAAATAAATTGGCAAAACAATTCCATGCTAGAATCCAACAATTTCTCAAAAAGAACTTATGTGACACACAATTCTTCATGACATGGATTTCACCTTCAACTTCATTTGGAAAAAGAGAGTTTTTGTCTATAGAAAGTCTTTTCAAGGTTCAACCTCAAGCTTGCTTAACAATTCTATCAAGAAGTTTGGACTCAATTCATGGCTACAAAATTCTCAAACCATTCATTCATAAAGGGTTCAAAGTCCAAGCTATAACACCAAACTTGCCCTTTTTGTTCAAAGGCACTCTAGCTGAATCTTGGTTGCATGAATTAAGGAAAGGAAAAAAAGATCCTGGTGAGATTCCTTTGTTTCAAAATATATCTAACTTGATAAGACTAGCTGTTTTGTACAAATATGGTGGTGTCTATTTAGACATAGATTTTATACTATTGAAGCCTTTAAATGGTTTGAGGAATTGTATTGGAGCACAAAGCATGGATTTAGGGTTTAAACATTGGACAAGATTGAACAATGCTGTTCTTATTTTTGACAAGAATCATCCACTTCTTCTGAGGTTCATTGATGAATTTGCTTTGACTTTTGATGGAAACAAATGGGGGCATAATGGTCCTTACCTTGTTTCTAGAGTTGTTGAAAAACTTGGAAAGAGACATGGTTTGAATTTTACCATTTTGCCACCTATGGCCTTTTATCCAGCCGATTGGACTAAGATAGGTGGTTTCTTTAGGAAGGGTAATACTAGAGTTGAAGAAAAATGGGTTGAAGCCAAACTGAATCAACTTAGTGGTGAAACTTATGGTGTTCATCTATGGAATAAGCAAAGTAGTCGTTTGGTTATTGAAGAAGGAAGTGTCATAGCAAGACTTGTATCAAATCATTGAGTCATTTGTAATAGTTTTTCTCTTATGTATAGGAACACTTGTGTGATGTAAAGGCTAGCTTTGCAAGTTTTGAAGGAATTCTCTTTTAACATAGTTTTTTTGACTTGATGGTTGCAATGATTCTTATTATGGCTTTAAATTGTAGTCGCATCAAAATCTTTGATATTGTAGACAATAACGATCAAATGCAGCCTTAATCGCCAAGGTTATTGTTTGTTTGTTTTTTTAATTTAATATCCGATCATATGACTGATTAATCTTTAATCTAAGAGGATCAATTTTACTGTCTATTAATGAAATCCATTTAAAATCAAAAATATGTATGGATTGGTCCAATATAAAAATTGTCAGTATTTGACAGAATTCTAACCTGAGATTTTGAGAATAACACACTTTCAGATTTCAAATCTTCATCAACCGGCCAAAGATTGCATCATTTTCCTTGATATTGTAAACAATTGCGATCAAAAGAAACCACCGTGTTCTTTGATATTGAAAATATTTGCAATCATTAATTATAGTCTTGTTGCTATTGCAGAGACATACAATTTTTTGACGTTGTAACTCAGATCGCGACCTTTTTCTTAAACCGTGATTTCAATCATGTTCGAAATCAAAATTTAACTTCAATAAAAAAAACTCTACTTGAATTTTCTATCCCAAATTCGAAATTTAAATCGTCTTAATCTTAAAGAAAATTTCAATCTTCCGCATCTCCACAAACTAAATCTTGGTAATCTCCTATAAGATTTTTTCCTACTCAATTTGTGCTTTCCCTTTTTATCATTTCTAGTATGAGATCCAAAATCTTCATTCATGTCACTACCCTTTGAAGCTAACTCACTTTCTCTATCAATACCATAACCATTTGTGAATCCAATCTTTTTTATTAAAGCCCAAGGATCTTGAAATTCTCTATCGGAATCACTATCCCACAAAGAAATAGGCTTAATAATAGGTGAGCCACTATAAGAATCAAAATGATTTGACAAACTTGTATGCTCCATGTCAAATAATCTCCTCATAGAAGTGCTTCCACCTTTCATTAACTCCAACAAACTACTAGATTTAGAGTAAGATAAAGAAGATGATGATGTTGTTGATGAATATAGAGATTTTTGGTTTTGTATAATCTTCATGATCTTTTCCTTTTGATATTTTGTGTTGATAAACCATTGAGACTCTCCTTCTGTCTCCTCAATAATTTCATGTGACATCTTTGTCTCTAAAGTTTCCAATAATTTGTATGATCTAAATAAATTTCCATTATGCAATTTTTTTGATTTTATGTATGGAGAAGAAGTATTGGACATTGGACAAAACAAGAAACAGCATTGCCATTTGTAAAGAATTATATGAAGCCGGCTGAATTTGTTTATTTTTTTGTTGTACTTAACATTGAAAAAGACAAGATTTTGATTCTATAATTTAAGTGATTAAAATTCCCAAACATTCTCTTATAAAGAAAAATAGACAATTGCATTCTCAATAAATTGTCCGGAAGGTAAAAAAGCAAAAATAATTATTTAGGATTTTCTTAACGCACCTTGTTTTTCTTAGGGGTGTTCGCGGTGCGGTTTGGGTGGTTTTGAAGCAAAAAATCACCCGAACCGCAAGAGTAAAAAACATGCGGTTCAGTTTGGTTCGGTTGGATTTTAAAAATAAATCCGAACCAAATCAAACAAACTAATACGGTTTGGATCGGTTCGGTTGGTTCGGTTTTTTACAAAAAAATTATTAAGTCATAGATACACATATCAAAGAAAATATAATTTTGTGTTTAATTGTTCATACATTACCATAAAAAAGGATTCATACTTATATATGCATGATTCCAAGACGCTTTAATGTGCATGATTCCAAGAAAGGATTCATACTTATAATTTGATTCATAAAATTGCCTATTATAATTTTATCTAAATATAAAGAATGATATAGACAAGATTGCATTCTTAAATAAATATTATACAAAGAATACAATAAAATATATTTTTTGAAAATAGTATTTATAAATGAATAATATTTTATTTTTTATGATTTGTAAATTAAAATAAATATCATACAAAGTATGATAAAATATACACATAATACATGTTGATTTCTCTAAGGAATTAAAGAAATATATATTAGTTTGTAAGATTTTATAATATAATGCGGTTTTGTTTGGTTTGGTTCGGTTTGCAAAATACAAACCACAAACCGAACCAAACCGCGCGGTTCCGTTAGAAAATGACCCAAACACATCCGAACAAAATGCGGTTTTTTGCAGTTTCGGTTTGGTTTGATTTGGTTTTGCGGTTTTCTATTGGGCCGGATTTGGTTTTGAACACCCCTAGTTTTTCTAATGCACCGCATGGAAATATTTAAATGCTCCTAGATTTCAGAGATATATTTCTGGAATGCACCAAGATATAATAAAACACAAATTTTTTCGGAGTTATATTTTCAGTATCAAACCGTCAGTATATTTTTGAAATAATGCCTTACAGGATACAGAAAAACAGAATTGACATACACCAACTTCACAAAACCAAAATACCATTGATATCCTAAAATAAGCAATATATAAAGGATTTTAACATAGATCAAACATTACACTTCAACATCTAGTTGGACGTTGCAACATCTTAATTGTAACGCCCCAAAATAAATTGTTTGATTTATTTTAATAATTGATTTCTGTGTTGAATTATGCTTATATGTGTTGTGGGGGTGTTAGAGGTTAAGAGGCCTAGTGGAAGATATTTGCCTTAAAACTATATGGATGTGTAGTATTATAAAAGAGGTGTGTGAATAAAAGTGTAGAAACATGAGTGTAGGGAGAATATTACCTTATTATTATTATTATTATTGTTAGAATAATGATTATAATAATGTTAAATAAATAAAATTATTAGTAATAGTGGAGTGAGGGTGTTATGGTAAGAGTGAGTGAGCTAAGTAGGGGCATAAGGGGGAAAGTCCTTATGAGTGCTATTTGTAAAACAAGGAAGAGAAGAGAATTAGATTCATTCTAATCGATCGTATAATTTTGGAGAAACAGAGAAGAGAGAAGAGGCAAGAGAAGGCTAGGTCAAGGGTTCTTCTGTCATTGTTGAGGAAATCAAGCTTTGGAAACAAGGAAGGGGGGGGGATGAGTTTTCTAATTTTATGATTATAGCATGAGAGGGTAGTGAGGGTTCCTTTCCCTCTTAGATTTTCTTAATTTTGTATTCCTTGTGTGTTTCTTTTGATTGTGATGATGAATATTGTGATTTCATTTATATTGAATTGTATTGGCATAATTGTGATAATTGTGATGTGAGATTCGTGATTATTGTGGATTACAATGGGAAAAACCGATGTGTCGACTCGAAGGAGGCATGCGTCCACTCATGCAATCCAATCTTTGACAGATTTTTCTAAAGGCCATAACTTGAGTTTCCTGACTCTCTTCGATGTGTCGTTCGAAGCGTTGGAAAGAAAATAAAATGAATTATACCTTGGAAGAATAAAACAATTCATAAGATTTAGTTTTATAGTGCTTTAAATAGGATAAAGTAATGAACTATGTAGTGCTAACATAAGAAGCATGTCATTTGCTATTAATTGACTTAACCATATCTTGATATAACTTGATAGGTGTTTTCTTTATGATGATATGGTGTCATTGTGATAATGATGTATGCTTCTATTGATGTTTTGATGATAATAGTAAATTATTTTTTGTTGTGAATTCTTTTGATTCCTTTTTAATGGCTTGTGTTTGTATGGAAATTCATGAGGAATGTCGGTGATTCAGAAGGAATCGTGGTGAGTATGTGACTCATGTGTGATCATGAGGATCATATGTTAGGAAATAATATTTGTGGGCTTTTGTGCATATTATTTATATATGTCATTCCCATATTATATGGTGTTATGATGAGATGAGCCTAGGTGGGAATCTTTGTTCGGTGTCTAATCTCGTCCAGACTCTTGAAGAGAGTCGAGTGGAGATGAGTGAAGTTCAAGGGAAATATGATTGGCTCATCTGGATTCCAATGGGAATCAAGTTCATATGAATAAATCGTATTGATTGTGTTGGTACCACATGCATGGTGTAGAGTCCATGGAGTCATATTGCATATTGTGATAAGCCATGTATATTTATTAGTCTTATACGTTAAATAAATTATAAGCACAATGGGAAACATATTGAACATATTAATGGAATCAATACGAGTCCAATATATATCTCTTACTGTTACTCCATCCTCATATCTCCGATGCCTAGAAACGTAATTGTTATCATCTAGAAGTTTTAAGAGGTGTTGCATTTCAGTTTGATCCTCCCTAAGTGTTAATTTGGATTGATAGCGCCTATTGTACACTTGCAAGTTCTACTGTGCAAGTTATAATTGAAGAATTACTAATGGCTCCAAATTTTACAAGAGGGAAGAATGTTAGTAAGGGTGAGAGAAATGTTTGTGAATCTTCAAATGCTCTAGAAATTTTTCTTCCTTAGTTGATGAAGAGATTTTAGAGTTCTTTGAGGACAAATGCCGAGGTAGAATTATGGCCAAACAACTCTACTACAAAGTTAGAACCGTTGAAGGCCTTCATATTCTAGAAGTTGTGAGTCGTATGAACTTCAAGGCATAAACTATTTCTTGCAGTTGGCTTAAGACTACAATGAAGACTTGACTCACGTGTTCTACGCGGGTTTACATAAGCGCCAAGGATTTGAATTCAGATTTCGTATGGGAGGTAAGGTGTCAATTTACAAATTCTATGTGGAAATATTTGTTTGGCATCACCATAGGAGATAAGAATGTTGAGCCCTTGGTATCGGATACCAATGCTCACTCATAATTTGATTGGAGATTGCATTCGAATGAACAACTAAAAGCATCGCGGGATGATGAAACTTTGATAATGTGACCACAGACCATCTGAAGCAAGTGCCTTGCATCTTACATTGGATCGTTTCTCACATACTGCGCCCAAAGAGCGGTGAGTTCTCTAGAGTTGAAAATACTGAAACACACCTTGCCTACATCCTTCTTAACAAGATCAAGATAAATTGGCCATATTATTTTGTTTCTCGAATGTTTGCAATCAAAAAGTGAAACAAAGGGAGTTCATTCTACTATGCTTATATGATTGCCAAAATCTCATCTCCTTCACCATTGTGGTTCCCAATCTAGTGTACATCTCACCAAGTGCTAGTCAATAATTCACTCAATGCACTCTGACAAATATGAGGTATATGTGGGATACATAAAAGAAGGTGTATTATTTTCAAATGTATGGATTAAAGAAGAAATCTTACTATTTTGATGATCCTACTGAATTTGAGGATCATGTAAATGATAATGTCATTGATGAAGAATCAATTGGTGAGGCTCCTCAAGAAGATGCACATATGTCGGATGAGAATTATGAACATGATGAGGCTTGGTTGAATGCTGACATATATCAACAGAATTAGGGTGAACACGGCTAGGGTCAATGGCCACATCGTGCTTGGACACAACAAGGAGAGGACTATAGGGAGTTTGATACAGGTTCTCATGATTTTGATTATGGTTCACAAGGGAATGGGTATGGATCTGGTGCTACAAACGACATTATTGTCATCACTATGCTTTAAAATTTGCAAGTTCAGCAAAATAAAAGGTAGGAAGAAGAGCTATGTTAGAGAGATGATTTCCAGGCTGCTCATGGTCACCACCTCAACATGCAAACATGAAGAGTCTTCACAATTCTACCAAGAAAATTGTGACTCTATGGACAAGGGCATGAGGACTTATTAAAGAGGCTATAGAGGTCCTAGGGGTCATTGATCATTTGTGTCTTCCTTTTTGGTTGATATTCTAAGCGTTTGTTTGCTATCTTTCTTCATGCATTTTTGTCATACCTCAAATTTGACCTATTGATTTCTAAACTAATTATTACTCATTGTTATTAATTTCTAAGGTTATCATAATATAAAGTTTAGATCATCATTGTCTAATTCAAAATTGTTTACATAGTATGGGATTTAAATTTATAAAAGGGGGTGCATTATTTCAAAATGGACCATCAAAATCTGATGGCCCGTCTAGTTTTTTTTTTATAATTAGAGAGAGGGTGTATTTGTTGTTTCGATTTCATCCCGTTAAGGGTTTGCGGTTAATTTCGAACAAATGATGAAAGGGGGTATGGTTAGAAAATTTGGATGGCCCATTAGCTTTTTGTTTTGAATCACAAAGGG